AGCAGCACCTAAGCAGCTACGAGAAAAGGTCATTGAATGAGGTCATGGTAGCGGTTGCTGTGCGGGCTGCTGCTCGCTGACTCTCGCTCTCTCTCCTTAGGGTTATCGGCTGCTGCTGGGACTCCTCGAACCACCTTCGTTTCGACAGGGTAGATGCTATTCAGAGGGTATTCGTGACTCTGCAGACAGAGAAGAAAAGTTCTAAAATAAATATATATAAAGCAAATTCTTGTACATAATGGGAAAAGCGTTTAACCAATCGAACGTATGGCTTATTCAGAGATATGTATGGGAGATCTTGTATTCCTCACGAAACACAGAACGATGGTATCAAGGTGTTCGCATCCAAAAAGAAGGGCAAGCTGTATTGCCTTTGTTTCTATTTTCCACTTCATTTATTGATTTGTGGCGTTTATATGTGTGAAAATTAGAGATTATTAAGGCGCTCTCCTTAACCCTCTCTGTACCGTTCTTCCTGCTGTGTGAAAAGAAACAAAAAAAAGTCAATACATAGATGATTTTAGAAGAGGTGAAATACGAACGAAAAAAATACATTAAACACAGAAAACACAAACAAACAAACGATCGACGGCAACGGCAATGGCAACGGCATCACAACAAAAAAAAAACATTAAATAAACAAAATTCGAAAATAAACGTAACACCAACGAAAAAAAAAACAAAACAAAAAAACGAATAGAAAAACCCTAAGAGTCAGTTTGCTGCGCACAGGGGATACCCTATAACCTATAAATATTATCTACTAAGATAAATAAAATGAAAATAAATACTAATAAACAGTAGTAGATCCTACCAGAGACCTGTGGATCCAGAAACACCTCCATTAAAGTGGCATTCCCCACTGTAATCTCGAAGATCTATCTGTGGTACGCGTCATGCAGCAGTGTAACTCGGTCGGGTATGGGCGGCTTTGCCTCTAAAAACCTCAGGATACCATAGGGTATCCAAAATTGAAATTAAAATCTTGTATCTGCATTTGTATGAGAATGTGTTTCTCTTCGTACATTGCCTTTTCGAATGGGAATGGAAATGGGTGGAAAAGAGTGTTCCGCGTCGTTCCGT